TCCCCATCCCTGTCCCATCCCATCCCAGTACCTTCTGCAGCAGCTCGATCTCCTGCTGTTTGGCGTTGAGGACAGCCAGTGCTTGCTCATGCTCCAGCTCCAGCTGTTGCCGCCGCTCCGCAGCCTCTCGCATGTGCTGGGAGGAGGAGGAGGAGGGGACAGCCTTCAGGGACAGCCCTCAGGGACAGCCCCTGGGGACAGCCCCGGCCGCAGCTGCCAGGCCAGGGATGCCCTGCTGCCCACACACACCTGCCTGGCACCTGAGAGGCAGCAGGAAACCAGGGGCGCTGGGGTTTGGTCAGGGCTTCAGCCAAAGGGAGCTCAGGCACCTGGACATCAGCCCTGCCAGGACCCAAATCCATGACATGCTATGCTCTGACACTGCCAGGACCCAGGCTGTGACACTGTGACACTGCAGGACCCAAATCCACGACACTGCCAGGACCCAAATCCACGACACTGCCATGCTCTGACACTGCCATCTCTATTCCTTCATCAGACTCTACATTTAAAAATCTTTCTGCTAAGCATCCACATCTGTGAGACTTTCTTGTCAAACTTTCATCCTCCCAACACCACACAGAGCTCCCAGAAGCTGTGAGGAGTGCTGGATGCTAGCAAATCACAGCAGTGTGAGCAAGGCTCCTGGAGGAGCACAGGCTGCAGTGTCAGGACACCCTCTGCAGATAGAAATCTTTTCATTACAGGTTAATATTACTCCCCAGCATCCCTGGAGCTTTCAAACACCCTCATATTAAATGGGAGCTAAGAGAGATCTCTTTCTAGATTCTGATCTCTTCCCTGGTGAACCTGGTATTAAAGATTTTTATTTTCCAAATTACATGCTATTCCCACAATAGTGTCTGAGCAGAGGCACAATGCCTTATCTGCAGCACTGAGTTATTGCACACAAACCTGGGAGACATCAGCACTTGGGAAAACAAATGCATGGAGAAAATGGGCAAGAACAGCCCAGAATATCTCTTACTGTCAACAGGAGAGAGTTTTATCAAGCTACAACTCACTTTATAAGTTTTTGGAGCAATCCCACAAAGCAAAAGCACATTGACAGTAGTTCTATCCAACCACTATAAGCACACATACCTTTGGTTAAACAATGCTTGCTTATTTCAAATACAATACCTGCTTGTAAACCTTAAACACAATGCACAGGGCTCTATTATTAAGCTTCAAACTTCCTAATATCTTGCTAGATAAACTTTTCTGCAGCTTAGGGAGTTATTCAGACAAGCGTTAATACACAGACCATTGTTCTATTTGTCCTCGCTTTTCTACTTTCTAAATAAATTTCCACAAACCAATCTCATGGCTGCTGCTTAGCTCCAGCCACAGTTCTGCTGTCTCTGAGGCCTTTTGCAGCTTTCCCAAACGCTCTGATTTAGTGAGTTCTCACCAAGGGCTCTCTCTGTTTGAGACCCCATCAGTGCCTGGGGCTCCCATTGGCACCCTGCCCCAAGCTGAGAGGGGTTTCAGTGCCTGGGTGGGCAGGGCTGAGCACCAGGGACCGTGGGCAGCAGGGGAGGATGCACTGATGGCATTGGGGTTATACCCACCTTCAGGACCTGCTCTAGGTTCTCCAGCTTGGCTTGGAGCTGGTGTTTTCCCCCCACAGCCAAATCTCGTCCTCTGGTCACTCTGAGCAGGGTTTCCCGAAGGTGGGCATAGTCTGATTGTACCTGGGAAATAAAACGGGGTTATTTCCAGACTGCAGGGAATTATTGATAAACAAACAGGGTCATTGCCAGACTGCAGTGAGTTATTGCCAAAAAAAACAGGGTTATTGCCAAACTGCAGTGAAGTTATTGCCAAAACAAACAGGGTCATTGCCAGGCTGCAGGGAATTATTGCCAGAACAA